TACGTTTCGGTTAGTTACTTACTCTCTCTCTCTCTCTCTCTCTCTCTCTCTCTCTCTTTGAAATGATTTTTGAAATTTTAGTGAATGTTTAACCTTCTTCAATATTATTCCATTTCTTGCTATTGTTTTTCAATTTTGACCTTTTTCATGGTACTCATATTTGAGTACAGAAATCTTACAAAGGAGTTCTATAAAATTGTGTTCGACTTTGCAGGAGTACAATGCCAGTGTAGAATTCTTTTGGGCTCCGTTTCTAGTTGATTTGGACATGGAACTGGTTCTCGGCCAGCCCAAGAGAGTTCTCAAACCCTATGAAATCGAAGGAAATGCCCAAGCATGGAGAGGTGTCGACATTCTCATCTTCAATTCTGCTCATTACTGGACACATCTTGGTGGTCTCAAATCGTAAATCTCCAAACCTTTGACTATTTTTTCTATTTTTTTCATCTTTTCTCCTTGATTCTGATTGCTAGAGAGGCCTGAATTGGAACCATAATAAAAGAAAAACACCTAAAAACCTAAAACATGATAATACAGGATGAACCCATAATGAAAACTGAAAAGAACAAGAAAGTGTACAAAAATTGATGTGCATTTGTTTGTATGAGCAGATGGGATTACATAGAGTATGAGAATGGACTATATGAAGACCTAGACAGGATGTTTATATACCAAAAAGGCATGGAAACTTGGGCAAGCTGGATTGACTCTAATCTGGATCCACAAAAAACCAGAGTCTTCTTCAGGAGCATTTCTCCTATTCACACAGAGTAAGAAACAAAACCATAATAACTTACCCTCTAGTTCTTCTATACATATTTTTTTGGTAAATAGTTCTTCTATACTGGTTAATAATAGAACAAATTTATCTTTCCATCCATCTCTATTTAACTATCTAGCTATCTATCTATGATGGCTACCACCTTCTCCTTTCACTTGTCTTTTTCTTTTAATTTAAATGTGGTAATGTGATTGAATTCTGTATTAAAAAGGAGAAAAGAAGATTAATCCAAAAAATTTTGCAGCCCAAGTCAATGGGACGAACCAAATGGGAATCGGTGTGTGAATGAGACCGAGCCAATTACACAGGATGCGTTCTTGAGCCCGATCCCTCCTCAAATGACCATCATCGAGACTGTTTTGAAACAGATGAAATTTCCAGTCTATTTCTTCAATATCACAAGGCTTTCGGATTATAGGAAGGATGCTCACCCTTCTGTGTACACCTCAGGTGATGGAGAAATGAGATATGGAAGTGCTAGCCCCGCTGATTGCAGCCATTGGTGTGTCTCTGGGGTGCCAGATATCTGGAATGAGCTGCTCGCGTTTCTTCTTCTCTACTGAATTTTCTGCGACTCTCTCTCTCTCTGTGGTAGCTCTACTGAGTTGCAGCCAAAGGTGACTTGGGGTTGCCATGTATTTGAAATGAGCTGCTTGCTTTTCTGCTGCTCTCTTAAGCTTTTGCAAGCCTCTCTCTCTTTCATGTTCCCATTTTTGTATACTCCCTTTAGTTGGGATTTTCATATCTTATGTAGTCATTTTCTTGTTACAGTTCGTCTGCCTCCGTTGATGCTTGCGCTAAACTCCGATATGTTTACCTATGATTAGTTCTAGATGGATGAGTATGCTCTATACATTTTGATGAAAGCAAAAAGCTATAGGGCATGGCAGAAAATAAAAACAGGGGTCTATTGAGCATCCCATATTGCATGACTCCACCCTGGTTCTTTATGGATTTAGGATAGGAAATAATTTTGGGACCAATCGAAATGTACCTTCACTTTGTATTCATGATTTTGAAGAATTAAAATGAATTTTCCAGTAAGAAAAAGCTTCAAATATATTATTTTTAGGATTTGGTTTGCACAAGGTTGCAATCTTAAACAATCAAGGTAAGGTGTATCTCCAACCTTTATCATGAGACGTGATTCTAGTATTGAAAATTCTTAGATGGTATGAGAATCAATTTTTATCTCGAACTATAACATTGTAAAAAAGTGGTTCAGATCAAGCACATCTATAAATGCATGAAAGTATCGAAAATGGATAGTCCAGATAATGTGTTGCAAAAGGGCTAAGGTGGTAGTGGTAGCACCCTACACCTTAGTCACCACATTGTGGTTTCCATTCCCATTACTAACACCGCTTCACTAACATCTTCAAAAGGCTAACTCTTAATTTACTTGAAAAAATGGGTAGGGCCTACCCTCCCCATTGAATTATCCAAAAAAAAAGGATGTACCACATTTAGGATTTGAAAATATCTTTTTTTTCTCCATATTTATACATCTCAATATCAAAATTATTACTTACATTTTTTTCCAATATCAAAACAGCCCTTTTTTAAAAGGATTTTAGAGGGGCACCTTAATTCTACATCTTAAGGTGTCAACCTTCTAAAAAATTTTCTTTATTTTTTATGCTTCAAAATCCAATTTTAGGGTCATTGTCGATTTTGGAAGCATAATCGCATTTGAATACTGTTTGGGTGGGTTTTGTCGCTCCCAAAAGGACTTAACCCATATAAAACACTGAGCACTCGAGGGAATACTTATCCAATAGGCCTTCCATCTATACATAAGCACTTGAGGGAATTATCCAATAGGCCTTCCAACTATACATAAGCACTTGAGGGAATTATCCAATAGGCCTTCCAACTATACATAGTTTGGATTATGACTCAATTAAGCTCATGCCATAGTTCACGCCCAAATATGGTCCATGCCTTGTAAACCGACTTATAACTCAATCCGCTCAAGCATCCGTAGTATCCTCATAAAGTCCATATCCCATGAATATACTGTTTGAAATTCCATATCCATATTACCCTCGTAAGTCTGCATCCATAATCATCTAGTGGTAAAGTCACATGGTTGAAATGTACTACACCCTTCGAAAGACATCGTTATACTCCTCTATCATAAAAAGAGGATAGGATGGTGTTTATAGTGCAAATCTCAAGAGTTCTCCGATAAAACATCCCAAATTTACGCTTGAAGCTGTTAAAATTAAACATCGATAAAGAATAGTCGGGTCTAGCAAATTACAGTTCAACTCCTGATCTCAAAAGATCAACCTTCTCTTCTCTAAAACTCGTTGGTAGAGCTAGATTGAGATCACATAGAATCCATTAAGAAACCCTAGAAATCAAACCAAAAAAAAAAAAAGAAGAAGAAGAAGAAGAAGGAAAAAAAGAAACGAAAAATAAATTGCAAATAAAAGATTTACTGAAATCCGGTCCCTTTGGCCTGGCACCTAAGATTTGGTGGCTCGGAATAGACTTGCGGTTAAAGTGCTTTCATCTTCTCGACCCCCGAAGATTCGCTTGAATTTGGAAGTACCTAGGACGTGTTCATACTAGGGTTTTAAAGTTGATGAGAATCAGGGTTAAATGATTGTAGAGAATTGACTGACTTACCTAGGGCTTCTAAGGAACTGCGGACCTGCACTCGGACTCATATCTTCATCTAGGTTAGGACATAAGACTTGGACTCGAATCTTGACCCTGACATGGACCTTGAATCAGACCGAGATCTAAATAGTGCAAGCCACACGAAATGGTTTGAAGAAAGATTGACCTAGGAATCTATAAGTAGGTCAGGATCCATGATGGGTTCTTAATTAGGGAGAAATTTGAAATGCGAATAGGTCTGATAGGTACCCCTTAGGTCACGGCCACCTATTAAAGGGATCAACCAAGTCTTACAACACCTAAGATACTTTGGGGCAGAAAATTACGGAGGGTACCTCACAGTTACAGTTGCACAATCCCCAACCGTATTGGGCCCCACAAGCTTAAGGGTGGCAATGGATTGGGTATGGATCATCAGGCCCAAAAGTTGGACCCATACCGTAACTGTCGGGTCCCGAGTCTAGCCCATCGGGTCCCAGGTCTGATCGAGTTCATTGCCACCCTCACTATGAGCTTCCTTTTTTGCAGCCTACAATGGTGAACAACGGAGAACTAATTTTTGAGGGTTGGGCGATTAGAGAGAGAGAGAGAGAGACAGTCGAGAGCCAGAGAGAGCTATGTCCCCAAGAAACTGAGAGAGGGAGAATTGCAGAGAGAGATGATGGCGATGGAGTTTAACCATTTGGAGAACTAGGGAGAACTAGGGGAAGACAAAAAATATTGAAACGATTTTAGAGTTGGGGCTTTGGCCTTCGGGTGAACTAAAATTTTGAGTCCAGACGGGTAGGGTATAGCAGAACCTGTACCTGAACTCGAGACTATCCGGGTATCCTTTATTTGACTCAGACCCCACCCGTGGGTCCCAAACTTGGACCCATACACAGACCCGTGTCGGGCATACCCGGCAGGTACGGGTCGGGTCCGAGTCCATTGCCACCCCTACACAGCTAGGTACCCCTCTCACAGTTAATGCCTACCACGGGGGTTTTTGAAAATTTTGACATAAGTCTCAGGGTTACCCTGTTGGTGTGTGCGAGAGATGTGGAAAGCAACACGCGTGTTATGCAATATCAAACAATCTAGAAATCTAAGAAGCAACAATAGTTATTTTTATTTTCATTTTTCATTTTTTTTTTTTTGCTTTCTGTAGTAAAAACATCAGGAACGAGAGTACCACAGAGGGGTTAGGCACCGCCGGAAAAGTTTTCCAGGGTCTTGGATTTGGACAACGCGTACACTGTCATCTATCGCAGAAATCCAGATGACAGTGTCTGCATGATGGTTTAGGAAGTATCCAAAAACAAAGACCCCATACAAGTTTTGAGGAGGCTAGTGTAACAACATAGGCTTGATCGCATGACAAGAAACGAATATACCTCCCCTCTTTGGCAGCGTTTGCTGACCCACTTGAATTTTCATTATTTATCTCCTAGGCTTATATTTTTATCGTCATCTTTACTTCACAGAATCAATGCCAAGCAAACAAAGGAATCCAATGATACCAATACAATACAAGAGCATCCAAGTTAACCTACTCATGAACAAAATACCAAAGTGTATGATGCCTATTCATGACAATAACACAACAGCAATTAAAGTGTGAAGAAATGGAGAGAAGACGAGATTTGGTCATAAGAACGACCACCGTAAAAAAAAAAAATTATCTTTATTTTTCATTGTTATTGATGCAATTTACTTGCTTTTGGTCTGTTGAACAGAAAAGATATATATGGCTTCAGTGCATCTAGAAAGAAGATGCATGGCAGTGTTATCGGTTAAACTAAGCAAATTCACCCTAGTCCTTCAAAACATACACCAGCCAGGAAAGGGAAATGCCCTAATTGAGCTAATCAAACCATTAACACAACCATAACTCTTCTAAAATAATTTTCTGTAGGGTTCAATGATAACTAAGTAGAAATGTACCATAGAGGGATCCAATGGCTAAGATCCAAGATATAGAAAGCTGAAGAAAGTAGAGTGATACCTTGGGAGCAAAGAAATTTGCCCCTTGGACAGAATAATAGAAAGAAATAGACTTACTTCCTATTACCCTTTATTTTTTGTTTCCATTTTTTCTTATTTCTAGTTCTAATATATAGTTATCTCATGGAAAAATGATCTAGTTAATGCCATAAAGATCAAGGATAATAGAAACTACAACAGCAACGTTAACCAGGCATTGGCTGTTTATGGAGATTTCCCCAACAAGCACAGAGCAACCCATGTCCTTTTCTAGGAGCTCCAAGAAACTACAAGGGTTCCCTTTCAAACAGAAGTTATAAATTACACATTGTATTGGACCCACTGTCTTTTACACAGAGTTCTTTGCATTTTCAAACAATATGAGGAGTCAAACAAAGCAATTAGCGAACATTAGTGCAGGGAATCCCTAACAATCAGAAAGGGCAAGATACCACACAAGGATTACCTATTGCAAAATATATGGCCACCATAAAGTCACAAAAACCATAAGAAAAGAGAGAATGGATCTGCAAGTTGAGAGTCTTAGAACAAAAGCAAGGAATCCCCAGTTGGGCTAAATCTTTGCCCGTTGAAAGCATTCAAGAGATTGTGAGGAAGAATCCTTCCATAGTCCCAGAGAGATATGTCAAGAGCCATGAAGAAAGACCAAATCAAAACAGTCTCTCTCCTCTCACTTCTCAGACTCCCACCATTGATTTCTCATTGCTATCTCAACAAAATGAAGATGAACTCCAGAAGCTAGATCTTGCTTGCAAAGAATGGGGCTTCTTTCAGGTATGAAAAAGTAACAAGCCAATTCTCATAACTCTATTCTAGTGTTCGAAAAATCGAACCAGAACGGTTAACCGGACATAGGCTTGGAAGCGGTTTAACCAGCCTAACCGGTAAACTGGCCGATTTAACTGCTCTAACCGGACAAGTCCCGGGCGGTAAAAAAAGTGTTGAAAAAAAATACAAAAAAAATCTACTAAAATATGAAAAACATATAAAGAATGATTAAAACAAAATACATTCAAGCGAAGTTGAAACTTAATGAAAAAAATGGATTTTAACCCATTTTATATTTTCCAAGGGCTATTTTTAAAATTTCTAAAAAAGATGGAAAAATAGAAAAGTGAGTATTAATGACCAAAACAATTTTTAATCTTTACCATCATGTAAAGAATATTTAAAAATGCATTACAAATCAAATTCCTTATTTTTGAGAATTTATATACTTTTTTTTTTTTTTTAAATACCGGTTGATCACCCTAGCCGCCCAAAACCGGAACCGGCCAGCTCCGATCTAACTGGGCGGTTAGCAGTTAGATCGGGCGATTTTGCGAACAATGCTCTATTTATACTCACATCAACTGATACTCCTTTTGCAGCTGTCGAATACTTTTTAAGTGTATGGTAATTTGTTATTGTATGCTACATTTTCTTAATTTAGTGTGTAACCCTGAACTGATATTACTTGCACAGATAATAAACCATGGGGTCTCAGAGAACCTATTGCAAAAGATGCAGGCTACTGCAGCTGAGTTTTTCAAACTTCCCATAGAAGAGAAAAAGAAGTATGCAATGGCATCAGATGACATCCAGGGATATGGGCAAGCATATGTAGTCTCAGAACAACAGAACCTAAACTGGGGAGACCTAATATATTTGCAAATATTTCCATCTAGATACAGGAAAATGAGTTATTGGCCGACTATACCAGAATTTAAGTATGTTTCTGTCGCAACCATACCTACATAATCCATTAATAATTCAACTTCTCTAAAAACCAAGCCCTTTCAACACATTGGAACTGCATGTTTCCATGAGATTTGAATAGAGGGAATGTATGCTATGATAATAATAATAACAATAATAATAATAATAATTAGTATTTTAAGACAAAAAAGGTTAAGAAAAACCATAGTCCTATGGGGTTATCATCATCCAATAAAATGGGCAGTGATGGAGAAAGAATGGGACCCACCAGAAGAGGATCCCAAAAGATGGTCCCGTTTTCTCCAGCGCCGTGAATAGTGACAACCGTTAGACTAAAGTTTCCATACTCCAGTTGCTACTGGTATGATTCCCCTTTGCTTTTATAACTTGGTTTGACTTTACTAAGTTTAACATTTGTATATTTCAACTTCCTATCGACCCACATGGCAGGGAGACAATAGAGGATTATTCCTCAGCGGTGAATAAAGTTGCAGTGCAGCTCCTTCCTAATATATCAGTGATTCTGGGATTGGACAAAGATGGTCTGCATGGACTACATCAAGAAATAATGCAAGGTATACGTATGAATTACTACCCAAAGTGTTGCAAGACTGACCTTGTTCTTGGTGTGAGCCCCCACTCAGATCAAACCACCATCACTATACTTCTCCAAGATGATGATGAAGTAGGTCTCCAAATTCACCATCAAACTGGTTGGGTGCCAGTAAAACCAGTTCCAAATACACTGGTTGTTAATGTTGGAGACGTTTTAGAGGTAGCATGAACAAATGCAAATTTCTTTCTTATAGATAGAAACAAAGGCATCCTGTATTTGGAAGCACAGAAATGCTTAAATATCAGTAGGGAAAGTATAATACAAGCTCCAAATTGGGTCTTAAACTTCGCATGAAATGATGGACGGTGATGAGAGAGAGGGTACCCACCAGAAGAGCAAATAGCCCCAATGGTGGCTCCTACTCTGTCTCCATCACAATACATGATCTCATCTAGTCGTGGCCCCAATGGACCATGGTTGCCTATTGTCCACTGGACTGTAGAATACTTTCTTGTACAAAAAATAAATATAAAGAAATGCCCAAATAATACAATCACGTCTTGCAGGTTTGGAGCAATGGGAGGTACAGGAGCATTGAACACAGAGCAGTGACATATGAGAAGAAAGAAAGAATGTCTTTCGCTACTTTCATCGTTCCAGATCAGGAGGTAGAGTTGGAGCCACTCGATCAAATGATGGATCGTCATTACGGCCCTAGGATGTACAAGAAAATCAAGTATGGGGATTTTGTTCGGCACTCGTTAGCAAGGAAACTGGCTGGGAAAACCCATACCGAGTTCTTGAAAATTGAAACTTAACAGTCGTCACCAAAAAAAACTTCCTGCTTCGGTAGGCCCATGTCAATTGGGACCCATGATGAGACAAACAGAAAAATTGTTGCAATTTCAAATTTCTTTGACTTCACTCTATGAATCCACACTCCAATTTTAGTGAACTACCAAGATATGTGCAAAATATGATGCAACTTATGAGCATTCGATGCATTTCAACAAAGTAATCTCCATGTTTCTCTTATCTGTCGCCTAAACCTCTTGGCAAATCCTTCAATTAAAAACTAAAAATAAAGCATTTCGCAACCATGCTTCCATCATTAATTGCAAAGTAATGCAAGTCACACTATGTAGCAAAAGCAACATATGCAACCATAAAAGTTTATTGAGCAGAAACAATCATGCCAAGACATCACTGATTTAATGATGGATACGGTTTCTATGAGTCCACGGACTCACGTGTAGAAATGCAGACCCCTTAATAATTTATTTTTGAAATTGAATTTGATCCTACTTTTTGGGGAATATATAATCTTTAATATGGAGATTATTAATCTGCAAAAATAAATAAATTTTAAAAACTAGAAATGATATTTTTTGAAAAATATATTTGAACCAATGATTTTACTTTTTCTTTCGAGGACTTTTATTTATAGGACAGTGGACGTTACTCCAAGCCCGCATAGTAACAGTTGCGGGCTAGGACGCACCAAACAATTTTACTTTAATAAACAAGGAGTTCAGTTACTTTTTGACAACTTTCAGTGCCGGAGCTCTAACATAAATATTGGAACATAAGCTCTGCAAAACAGTGTAAAGAAACTTGTCTCGTTCGGGGACTCGGCCCTAGACCGAGCCGAGTCGAGTTTTGGCCGAGCTGAAAAAATGCGCACAAACAAAACTGGGTCTGTTTAGGTACATGGATTTTAAGGCATGGATTCCTAATATCTTGGATATTGCCAAAATCCACCATTTGGATTGCTTAAGACTAGGATACTTAAAATCAAGAAAATCAAAATCATGGAAATAAGACCTACTTTTCCATGATTTTATTTCCACACTTAAACATGTTTTTTTGCATGTCCAAGGCCCATGGATTTCACTCATTGGCTCCCTCAACCCGAAACGTAGGGAGCATTTCGCAGGTATGAAAATTTTAGAGACAGAGTACCTGAATTTTTTAAAGAGAGAAACTATCTCAAAAATTTTAGAGAAAAAAACTATCTCAAATTTTAACTTTTAGAGAGAAAGTATGTTAAAATTTTAGAGAGAGAAAGTACCAAATTTTTTAGAGAGACGAACTATCTCAAAATTTTAGAGAGATAAACTATATCAAATTTTAACTTTTAAATAGAGAAAGTATGTTAAAATTTTAGAGAGAGAAAAGTACCAAAAAAATTTAGAGAGGGAAACTATCTCAAATTTTAAGTTTTAGAGAGAACCTATCCTATTTTAGAGAGAAAATACATGCAAATTTTTAGAGAGAGAAACTATCTTAATTTTTTTAGAGAGAAATTATTTCAAAATTTTTAGAGAGAAACAATATCGTATTTTAATTTTTAGAGAGAGAAACTGTTGGGCTTATGTGACCTTTAAAGGACTTATGAGTGTGTAATGAAAAACATTTATTATCGTGGAACATAAACTCAGTGGGAGTGTGGTCCTTCGAAGACCATACTAAGCAAATGATGTTTACTGATACCGAATTGTGCTTGACGATTTAGACCAGTCGATTGGAAAACCCAAGGTACCTGGGCATAAAAAATAAACCGAGAAGAGTTTTTGGGTTAGCCCTTGATGAGGTCGGAGCTTATGCCTAGATGAGTGAGCTGAGGGACGGTGTCACCCTTGTGTATGATGGTAGAACAGAGACGGGGGCCAAAACCTCATCTATGTTCCATCATACGGCATGCATATAGATAGATCATTCGGAAAAGCCAGATATCCACCTTTGGGTGAAGTGTATGCATGTGCGAGAGACACCCCTATGTGTCATAAAGCTGTGGTCGCATCAGATCGTAGTGACCTTGAATTGTCTCTAGGGGAGGACCTGTAATCCACAAACTGGGATTACGACCCCTTGGCTTATCGGCCAGATTTAGATGACCCGCTAATGAGCCCCTGCTTGGACTGTGGGTCATGGAAAACACTGGGTCGGTTTGATAAAGCAAGTGTGGTCTGTAGTCCACAGTTGAAAGTGGAGTACCCCGTGATCGTTGATAGCATTCTTGAACGATATGGATCCACTTCCCATCATATTAATTTAATTGTGTTTATTTTATTATTAAATTATTTTAGATTTATTATTTGAATTTTTATAAGTCATTTGATATTTTATTTCTTAATTTGGGACTTATAAAAATGAAGTTATTGATTTACAAAGTTATAATGTTTTAAAATTTATTTTGTTTAATTTTAAAATATTTATTAAAAAAATATATATGTGAGCCCATAGTGCACATAGGCCCACCATGTGGGTATTAGGTGGGGCCTCACATACCATACATGGGTGGCACGCCCCACCCTTGGATACCTTCTCTTGTTGCTTTGTCTTCAAGTTTATTAAATATGGTAACTATATCTTATAGCATATGGTCAAATATTGATTAGGAAATATTGACCATATCTTATCTTGATTATTGACGGAATATCTTGACTTGATATTATTGAAATATTCTTATGGAAAATATGAGAGAATATGCAATTTATGGTATGCACCATATCTTTAATAGATTTAATTTATTTAAATATATTGATGGGAAAATAGTTTAAGGAAATGGGGATAATAGTTCATGCACCTTCCATAATGTTGATGACTCATCTGTGGAATGGATGGCTCAGATCTCTCACCCCACCAGCACATTGATTAACGGTCCATATTCAATCTCAAGAAATAGACAAACTATGAAAAATCCTAAAGAAACCCCGAACCTAAATTTCACTATAAATATGGGTGCGCTCCGCCATCTCTACACACCTCTCTCTCTCCAATAACGTCTCTCTCTCCCATGACCTCTCTCTCTTAAACTCTCTCTCTCTCCTCCTTAGGGCCACGCCCCTCTCTCTCTAACCTTCTCTCTCCTCTCTAGACCTAAGAAGAAACTAGGGTAAGAAATCAGAGGGAAGCCTAGAGTTATTTTTTGGGGGCTAGGGTTTCATAGAGATTTAAGGATGGTTACCTAGTTTGGCCGAAATTAGATTTCTGATTCGAAATTGAAGCTAGACCGCTGATCCCGCACCATTAGATGTGGTGACTTAGTGTGGGGTGTAAAAAGCCCGGTTGAGGTAATCTTCGGCATCTTTTCTTTTATTTGTTAGTTCTTTTATTTTGTATTCTCAAACACAGTATTAGGTTGTATGAATGGCATCAAGTAGTTGAGATTTATTTTTTTGATGTGTTATTTATTTTTGAAATTTTTATTGTTTGTAATAAGACCATTTGTGAATGATCTTGTTACCAAAATTATAAGCGGGGATTATTATTAAAAAAAAAAAAAATGTATTTCCCTAGCAAAAGATCACATAGGTCTTTCTTTCAGAAACTCTATCAAATTTTAAAGAGAGTACCTAAAAAGTTTTAGATAGAAACTATCTCAAAACATTTTAGAGAGAGAAACTATATCAAATCTTAAATTTTAGAGAGAGAAAGCATCCTTAAAATTATAGAGAGAGAAAGTATTCTTAACCTTTTAGAGAGAAACTATTATAAATTTTAGAAAGAGAAACCGCCAAAAAAATCTAGAGAGAAATATCTCGTTTTTTTAGAGAGAAATTATCTCGAATATTGAGTTCTAGAGAGAAACTATCTCGAATTTTGAATTTTAGAGAGCGAATATTAAAACTTTAGATAGAAAATTTATATAAAATTTTAGAGAGAGAAACTATCTGAAATTTTTTAGAGATTGAAACTATCTCTAAATTTTTGGAGAGAGAAACTATCGTAAAATTTATGTTTTAGTTCGAGAAAATATCTTAAAATTTTAGAGAGATAAACTATAGCAAATTTTTAATAGAGAAATAACATGAAATTTTTAGAGACAAAAACTATTTCAAAAAAATTTAGAGAGAGAAACTATCACAAAATTTAAATTTTAGAGAGAGAAAGTATCTCAAATTTTAAACTTTAGAGAAAGTATTTCAAATTTTAGAGTGACACTCTATCATATTTTAAAGAGAGAAACTATTTCAAAATTTTGGCGAGAGAAACTATCTAAAACTTGAAGTTTTAAAGAGAGAAAGCATCTTAAAATTTAAGAGAGTGACTATATCAAATTTTAGAGAGAGAAAGTACATAAAAAATTTAAGAAAAAGAAACTATCTCAAAATTTTTAGAGATAAATTATCTCAAATTTTAGCTTTTAGAAAGAGAAAGTATTTTAAATTTTGAGAGAAAAACTATATCATATTTTAGAGAGAGAAACTACTTAAAAATGTTTAGAGAGAGAAACTATCTCAAAATTATTGAAGAGGGGAACTATCTCAAGTTTTAAGTTTTAGAGAGAGAGAGAGAGTATCTCAAAATTATAGAAAGAGAAATTATATTAAATTTTAGAGAGAGTAAAGCACTTAAAATTTTAGAGAGAGAAATTATCTTAAAAATTTTAGATAGACAATTTCAAATTTAAATTTTGGATAGAAAGTATATTAAAGTTTAGAGAGAGATCATATAAAATTTTAGGGAGAGATACTATCTCAAAAATTTTATAGATACACTATCCCATATTTTGAGTTTTAGAGAGAGAAAGTATAATAAAAATTTTAGAGAGAAATTATATCAAGTTTTGTTACCAAACAATGAACATGGAAGTGATTGCAAGGAATCCATGAATTTCGTATAGTTTATCTAAACAAGGAATCCATGAATTTTGTATAGTTTATCCAAATAAGAGATTTGAAGAATCCTTGACAAAATCCTTGATATTGAAAATCCATAGATTTACTTGGATTTCAAATACCTAAGATTTCTAATTTCCTCCTATCCAAACGGCTAAGACGTGAGATAAACCTGGAGTGGGGGTAGGGATCACGTGATCAAGGGAGGTAAAAGAAGGGGGCACTTGGGCCATGGAGAAAAAAAGAAGGCGGAGCTGACCACAAGAGTAAAACGTGGAGGCACATGGCTAGAGGAAGGAGATAGAAAAGGCAGGTGGCTGAGAGAGGGTGCATCAACGGCGGCAATGAGAGTGAGAGAGAAAGAGAGAGGAAAACAGAGGAGAGAAGAGAGGGTGAGAGGGAAGAAGGGAGGAAAAGAGAGAGAGGGAGTTGCTGAGAGAGAGGAGGGATGAAAACACGTAGATTGGGACTTCTCCGGCCGTGGCTGCCACTTGATTGAGTTGCAGAGGGAGAGAAGACATGATGCAATGGAGATGCAGAGTAGGGAAAGAGTACTGAAAGCGGGAAGATGGTCTTAGAGAGAAAAGGATGGGACTCGATTTATAGAGAATTTTCTCACTGCAAGAGAAAGAATGTACACCTTTCATTTTTCAGGGTGGTGTCTAATGTACTCGAGCTATACCCGTCTCAGCTAGAGGCTGAGGCCGTATAACTCAGCTGAATCCGAGTTGACTCAGCGAGTCTCATGACACTCCTTTCAAATATTCATATATGACAATCATGGAAACTTGGCTTTAAACATTGGACCATGTAAACACAGAAAGAAAACAATGTCACAAAAAATTTCGGTCCAAATGCTTTACCCTAGTTTCACGAAATCTGTGTCAGAAGCATTCAGGATCTAGAATGTGACTACGTATCCTGGCCCCCATTTAAAGCACAGAAAACTAACATGAAGATAACTCTGCTTGAGATCAATCTGGACAACTAGCAAGAAACAGTTTTAATAAACTAGAGGACAATTCTGAATATACTAATGTTTGAATGATCTTCCTAGATTTCACAATTTAACAATGAGAACACTATTAACACTCATAACTTAAAGCAAGGGACTGGCTTCCAAAAGTACCCAAGTGTACATAAGGACTCCAAAAGCCAAAAGAGATGCAATCTAGAAGCACCATTTTGAGCTTGTCCATAAAGTGACGCTTAATATGCAATTTTTTATTATCAAAAAAAAAAAAATGCAATTTTTCAACCCCTAAAACTTTCAGGGCAAATGATGCCATCAAAGAGTCAAACTTAGAGAACCATTGTTGGGAACTCTTATGGTAAGCAAAATTATGAGCTTTCAGCAAGCATAAAATGAGAAGCCCCTACTGAATAAACTAAACCACAACACAAGTGAGCAGCATGTTTTAATCAATAGACGGTTTTCTATGAAAGTGAACATACCTAGAACAATGAGAATCCACAAAGTCACTCAGGTGCTACCAAGAAAGCCTAACCGAAATCAAGCAGATAGAGGGGCCATGGACGAGTTCAAGAAACCAGCACAAGATTGAGGATATGGTAGTCTATTCACAAAACATTAGGTGAAGCTAATGCATTATTCTTCATAGATGAGATGGCTTGTACGAGTGAAGGTAATGCTTTTTTTTTTTGTTTATATCTTTGAATATAACTTGGTTTGTATGAATGACAGACCCCCATTCTCTTTATTTACCCGCAATTTTGGATCTCATAAGGTTCGTCTTCAATTGTATTTTTGTTCTCATCAATTGCTCTCCCACCGTCCAGAAAAGCCACCAAGACTCCCAGACCCTTAATGTACCAATGGCGACATCTCATCTATAACCAAAACTTAAATTTAAAAGAGAAGACACCCCATAATGTCTCTTAGAGGTCCCTGTTAAAATGTTAACTACTGCAACTCTCACTCTCAATAGATCTCCGACCCTAAATACGTACATATTTAATACATATGTACATATATAAAATACATAACATAAAATTGTAATTTTTCTTCAAATAATCCCTTTAAAACAATTTATCACTTTTTATTACATAAAATATATTTTATCTTTCATACAATTTTTTTTTTCTACCATTGGGTTGACAAATGCACTGCAGAAACCCCAATAACCATGTTGGCGTACATGTAACCTTCTTCTCATATTCCCTAATCTTATAGACCGAATGTTAGGCCTACAAGTAGATTCACAATTAACTATTATATTGAAAGTAGATTGAGAGGGAGAACTAGAGTGCTCTAATATATTGTTCATCATCATTATCATCCGAGCCTAATATATTGCCATTAAGAACCAAAAAAAAATCAAAAAATGATAACATTACATGTAATGTATCCAAATACATGTATCTCTTTAATCTATTGAAAAGGTCAGACCCTCCATATCTCTACTACTCTTATCTTTGAAATACGTATGAAAAATTTGAATGGGTACAATCATGATAATTTTTCTTTTTGGATAATTACAATTATAAGCAAATCAAATATATACTATCACTGATTCACTTCATAAACTCAAAAATTGAACATACTGATTTTTATCTCTAATAATTTTGAGGCAAAGGGTTAAGTTTCCAAGAACTTACCAGGGTAACAGAACATCCTTAACTTCAAACGCTAAAATGAATATTTCATAAACTCAATTACTTCTTTAAAAGATTAAATGCTGTTTGACTCACTCCTTAACCACACATTTGAAGATGCAGGGCCGAGACATGCCTAGTTAGCTGGTTGGCCAGTTCTCTACTCTGCTCTGTAGTATCCTGCTCAAAAAAAATTAAACAACCAAGAAAGATATGCCATGTACAGATGCTGAAACAAAAATTTGTTTAGGCAAATTAACAGTACAGGTAAACCAGGGACTCACCTTCTGGATCACATAATTCCCAAACACATCTGTCATTGATGGCAGAGCTTGAGGAATAATTTCTTGGAAAACCGTATTTTTCTCCAGTTGTGGTTGTTTCAAGTTTTTTGTTGAATGGACCAACCCCCACACTGATCTGCACTACTCAAGAGGACAATTTTTTTTTTTCTGGAAGTTTAAAAAGAACAAAGAGAAAATAAAATACACCGCCAAATCTTGGGAATAATTGATGGAAGACCATTAACTGCTTGGTTATTTCCATGCGATACATACAGTGTGTTAATGACTAGTGCCTGAAGACCAATGACTGCTTGGATCCCAGTCCTAAGTCCGTCTGGCAAATCATTATTCCCTCAAAAATGATTCTGAATTCAAACCAGCAACAATTGCCAAAAGAGTCCAATTAAATACCTGTCAAAGAGGCAGCTGCAGCAATGTTATCAAGGAGGGGACATATTATTGGAACCAAGATGGTTGCTCATCATTAAGAGGTTCTCAGAAAACCACTCAAACCATAAATTGCAAATGCTGCATTTGAAGCTTCCATATTCAGATAGAAATAGCCAAATCTCATGAACGAGAAACAACTCATGCGGAGGCTGCTTTCAAATATGAATTATTGGAGGAAGTAGTTTGTTTAGGCAGATCAGCATCAGAAGTTAGTCAAATCTTATTTAAATTAAATCTAGCTCCATTGCTTCTACACAGATCACTACATGATGGTTTACATACCCAATTGGGAAATGCCTAGGTTAATCAAAGAGAAATTTCTCCTGGATTTCATTTTGGAGCTGTGATTGCAAGTGTTTGGTTTGGTCTATCACTCTGTCCTCAACAAGTTTATTCCTGTGAACGCATTTGCCAGATCTGTGGAGTCAGTTATACCTGGTAGAACACCATTGAATTGTCTTATCTAAGTGTTAAGTTTTCATCCTCAGATGGAAAGCAGGGTCTAGGAGACCTCATTACATGATGAGAAACAGGAATTGTGCTCCTTGGGGGAGACTGATAAGAGAAACAAAACCGTGAGATGAGTTATGAACCCCAGATAGACCTTGCATAGCTGCTGAACCAGATGTAGACTGTTCTTGTGATACAAATGGGCATATTCGGAGTGCATTGAATTCACACCTTTATCAAAGGCATTGTAGCTTGCTGGAAGAGATAGGTGACCAGAGATTGGAGTCAGATGGCCCACATCCTCCTGCCGGAGAAAAAGGATCATGATCTTGATTAAATTTCATGACAAAAAATCATTGTAACCAGACTTTACAATATTCCGACCGAAAAAAAAAAAGCGAAGCTAATCACCTCTTATCCACAGGATGCTACAATGCATTATGGTATCCTTGAAATGATTGCTATGGCATTGGCACGGACAGCACATAAAAAATGATACGGCAAGGGCACTGCTATTGCAATCAACAGATCTCTGTGTATGGCATGCTAGGACGGATTCTAAATCACCTTTTATTTTCAAATAACATTTGGCCTTTACAGCAGAGACAATACAAGCAAAAAGAACCAAGTTCCCCTTAATTTTTACAAAGTATAATTGAATAACAGGTATCTAAATTAAATGATCAAGGCACTCTCTCACAAAAATTTTCAGGGCTTCTGGTTGTATCCTTTTGTCTGGAGTGTGTGGGCATGTGTGTATATAGTAATTTATAAAACCGCTCTTTCAAAAACCATGTTAGGAGCATTTGTATGCCATGCCCCAAGATTTGCACCTACACACTAACTTCATTTCAAAGCTATATTTAAAAAACAACATTTCAAAAATGCTCCCTTAAATTAAATTTTTTGAACTCAATGACCACAGGTGATCCATCACGGGACCGTTAGTTCTAGGCCTTTAAAATTTTTTATGCCAAACTTATTAGATGGCCTTATCATCATCAGATGACAACGAACAATGAAAAAAACAACTTTATTTTGAGTCCTTAAAGGCCTATATATATATATATATATATATATATATATATATATATATATATATGT